CAGGCCCAACAGCCCCACATAGCTGTGCGCAGCCCCTACAGCTCCAACAGCCCCACACAGGTGTGAACAGCCCCCAGCAACCCCAAACAGCCCCAACAGCCCTACACGGCTGTACACAGCCCCTCAACAGCCTCACACAAAAGTGTGCACAGCCCTACAACCCCTACAGCCCCACATGGGTGTGCAGAGCCCCCCAACAGCCCCATGCACAGCTGTGCACAGCTGGTCACAAGTGCACCCCACCGTGCACACCCCACACAGGACTGTGCACCAACGCATAACCACACACAGATCCATGCACAGCCGGGCAGGAGTGCCAACACCCATGCAGGGCATGCACACCTGCACACGGCTGGGCACAGCTGCACCGGGCAATGCACACCCATGCACACCTGCACACAGCTGGGCACAGCTGCACCGGGCAATGCACACCCATGCACACCTGCACACAGCTGGGCACAGCTGCACACGGCAATGCACGCCCATGCACACCTGCACACAGCTGGGCACAGCTGCACAGGGCAATGCACGCCCATGCACACCTGCACACAGCTGGGCACAGCTGGACAGGGCAATGCACACTCAGCCCTGCACACCTGCACACAGCTGGGCACAGCTGCACCGGGCAATGCACACCCATGCACACCTGCACACAGCTGGGCACAGCTGCACATGGCAATGCACACTCAGCCCTGCACACCTGCACACAGCTGGGCACAGCTGCACATGGCAATGCACACTCAGCCCTGCACACCTGCACACAGCTGGGCACAGCTGCACCGGGCAATGTACACCCATGCACACCTGCACACAGCTGGGCACAGCTGCACATGGCAATGCACACCCATGCACACCCGCTCACAGCTGGGCACCATGCACACAGCCCTGCTCGCCCATGCACACCAAGGCAGCTGTAACAGCCCTGCAGGACTGTGCTCAGCTGCACAAACCTGTGCACAAGCACACACACGGCCACTCAGACCTGTACAACAACACCCACAGCTTCACACAGCTGTGTTCGTCTGTACACGGCCACATGCAGCCATCAGAACCCTTCACAGGAGTGTGCACAGCCCTGCACAGCCACACAGAGCTGTGTGTCACAGTACAGGCACACACAGCCACGCACAACTGGCTGTGCACAGCTGAACCACGACTCACTGCAGCACACAGTGTGCTCAGCCACACACACAGCTGGAATCAATCACAGCCCCACACAATTGCATGTCTGTGCAAACATCCACACAAACTGTGCGCAACACACAGAGCTGCAGTCACTCACAGCTCACACAACTGCACCAACTGTGCACAACACCCACACAAACCGTGCACAGCCTCACACAACTGCACATCCACACAAACTGTGCACAACACACAGAGCTGTTCACAGTACATACACGTGCTCATCGTGCACAGGACACAGCAGCACACCCCTGCACACAACAGCCATACACAGCCTGCACACACAGACACACACAGACACAGACACACACACACACACACACAAACAGCAGTGCACAGCCATTCACCACTCACAGCTCCACACAAACGTGTGCACAACAACCGTGCAGAACTGCCCTGGAGCAAAACCAGCTCTGCACAAACACACAGAGACACACACACACAGACACACAACTGTTGATACACACACACAGAGTTGTTATCACACACACAGAGCTGTTATGACATACACTCACACGTACAGCTGTCATCACACACACACTCACACACAGCTGTTATCACACACACACACACACACACACACACACACCTGTGCACACCCGCACACTCCATGCCCGGCTGTGTCCCTCCCGCAGCCCCGGGGCGGGGGCAGCGCGGATTCCCCGGGACCGTATCCCTCCTGTCCCCATCCCCGTGCCCGGCCCGTGTCCCTCCTGTGTCCCCGGCGTCCCGGCGGAAGGCGCCCGGCCGTGCTGCCCTCCCCTTCCGGCGGCCATGGATCCGGCCGTGGATCCGGGCTGGGATCCGGGCGAGCCGGGCGAGCCGAGCTGGGCCCGTCCCGGGGCGGCGCTGGGCGGCCGGGGGCTGCTGGCTCTGGCGGCGGCCAGCGGGGCGGCCGTGTGGGCAACCTGGGCCGTGCTGCTGATGCCGGGCTTCCGCCGCGTCCCGCTGCGCCTGCAGGTACCGGCACCCCGATACCCTGACCCCTGTGCCTGCCGGTACCGGCACCCCCGATCCCCTGTGCCTGCAGGTACCGGCACCCCGATCCCCTGTGCCTGCGGGTACCGGCACCCCGATACCCTGACCCCTGTGCCTGCGGGTACTGGCACCCCGATCCCCTGTGCCTGCAGGTCCCGGCACCCCGATCCCCTGTGCCTGCGGGTACCGGCACCCCGATACCCTGACCCCTGTGCCTGCGGGTACTGGCACCCCGATCCCCTGTGCCTGCGGGTACCGGCACCCCGAACCCCTGTGTCTGCAGGTACCAGTACCCTGATCCCGAGGCCTGTCCCCCTGACCCGCTGTGCCTGCTGGTACCAGCACCCCGATCCCCGGGACACCAACCCCGATCCCCTGACCCGCTGTGCCCCCGCAGGTGCCATACCAGCCCTCCAGCCCCCGGCAGGTGGCCAACACCCTGGCGCTGCTGCGGGGCCGCGCCGGCAAGACCGTGGATCTGGGATCCGGAGATGGACGGCTGGTAAGGCTCCTGGGGGAAATTGAGGTGTCCGGGGTGGGCCAAGGGCAGGGAGGGTGGAGGGGACACCCCCACCCTGCTGCTGCCGGGCTTCTGGCTGGGCTTCTGGGTGGCCAGGACCATCCCCGGTGGTCCCAGAGCACCCTTGATGGTCTTAGACAGCTGTAAGTGGTTCTAGATCATCCCAGGTGTCCCAAGGGGTCCCTGGGCTGTCCTGAATAGTCGTAGGCTTTCCTAGGTGGTCCTAGACTGTCCTTGGTGGTCCTAGACTGTCTTAAATATTCCTAGACTGTCTTTGGTAGTCCTTGGTGACCCAGCATGGTCCAAGGTGGCTCTAGACAGCCCCAGGTGGTTCTAGGCAGCCCTAGGTGCTCCAGGGTGGCTCTAGATGGCCATAGGGGGTCTTTGGCAGCCCCAAAAGATGCATGCAGGGAGCAGGGTGGCAGTGAAGGAATGGATGGTGCTGAGCTCCAAGGTCACCCTGCCTGTGAGCCAGCAGGATGGGGTGGGTGCAGCTGGGCAGCAGCCCCTGCCCTCCCAAATCCTGCCCCGGACTCAAAACTGAGCTGCTTTGATTTTCAGCCCTCCCTCTCTCCTGTGCAGGTGCTCGAGGCTTACAAGCAGGGGCTGAGGCCAGCCCTGGGCTATGAGCTCAACCCCTGGCTGCTGTGCCTGGCCAACTACCGTGCCTGGAGGGCCGGCTACCACGGCAAGATCTCCTTCCTGAAGAGGGATCTGTGGAAGGTAACAGCATCCCAAGGGTCTGGGTGTGCTCAGGGCAGGGCCAGAGCTCTGTTTGCATCTCCAGGATGGATTTACTGATGGCTGCTTGCTCCTTCGCCATCCCACACTGCTCCTGGGAGGTGGAAATCCATCGTCCTTTCCAGGGAGTGCCAGCTGGGAGGTGGAAATCCATCCTCCTTTGCAGGGAATGCCAGCCGGGGCAGCAGCCCGTGGCCAGTTCTGCTGCTTGGAGCAGCTCTGAGGAGAGGTTTGGGTGCTGCTGACAGGCTCACCTGTAGGCATGAGCTTCTCAGGCTGCCATGAGGTGTCTGCAGCCTGACCAGAGAGAATCCATAAGGGAATGTGGGTCTGGGATGGCGCTGGAAGCAGGTGTTTCCCAAGACGTGCTGCTTTCACACCCACACTTCCCCATCCCACATCTTTTGTGGCATCTTTGATCCCTGCAAAGTTTCAAAGATCACCCACAAGGTTTGGACACTCAAGCAGCTGTTCCTGCTCTGCCTGCTGCTCGTTATTGCCCTTTTCCTTCTGTTTTAAGGTGGATCTCTCTGACTGCCACAACGTGATCGTGTTCCTGGCCCCCAGCGTGGTGAGTCAGCCCCTCACACCCCGAGTCCTTCTGGGCCAGCTCCAGGGGGCTTGTCTTGGGAAACAGAGGTGAAATAAGGGTGGAATGGGTGGAATAAGGGGTGGAATAAGGCCAGGTGGGCACCCCTGTGGCTGAGTGGTTTGGTGCTGCACAAATTTGGATTTATGGATTTATGGAATGATGGAGGTTGGAAAGTCCCTCTGGGTTGAAGTCCTGCCATTCCTCCAGCACTGAGCCATGTCCCTAAGTGCCACATCCGTGTCAAAGCCCTGCAGGGATGGTGACCTCACCACTGCCCTGGGCAGCTGTGCCAGTGCCTGACCACCATTTCAGGGAGGAAATTTTCCCAATATCCAACCTGAACCTCCCCTGGCACAGCTTGAGGCTGTCCCTCTTGTGCTGTTGCTCCAAGTCCCAGCCTTACCCCGGGCCAGTACCAGCCCTCTGCTTTGAAGGGTAGATGTCCCAGAGGGTCCCTGGTGGCACTGCTACTGTGTGACCGTGTCCTAACGCTGCCTCCTGCCCCTGGCTGTGTCTCTCTCCCCAGAAGCCTCCCTTGGCCACCAAGCTCCTGGCAGAACTGCCCGACGACGCGCGGGTGGTGGCCGGCCGCTACCCCTTCCCCTCCTGGAGCCCCAGCTGCACCCTGGGCCAGGGCCTGGACCAGGTCTGGGCCTATGACATCAAGGAGGTGCGGAGGGAAGTGCAGGGCAGGGCCCAGCAAAGCCAGGTCTGACCCCAGCCTCATTAAGCCCGGTTTAACAGCACCCTCCTTAAGCCTGGCATTTTTAAGGGTCAGAGCCACTCCAGCCCTTGGCTCAGCTCAGGACAGAAGTGCTTGGCCAGCATTTGTCCTGGGGACTTGCAAGGTGGTAGATTTTCCAGAGTGTTGAGCAAAGCAAGAGAGGAGAAAATCAAACCTGGAAATCCTGGGGTTAACGCAGGATTTAAGGGATGAAACTCCAGTGCCTCTTTTTAGATGATTGCTGCTTTATTTCAATTGAAGTTTTAAAAATAAAGTTTTGATTGATTGTTCCTCTGAGGTTTTTGCTTTGTCTTTGAGCTGCTGGATGGTCCTGGAGTTGGAGCAGCTGCTGCTCCTGGCTTTGCTCTGCCATCCTTTCCAGCCCACCTCCTTGCAGGATCAGTTTGGCCCTGCTCATCAGTATAATATTCCATTTTCCACTCAAGCACAGAGGAAAATGGGGTTTTCCCACCACAGAGGCGCAGAATCATGGAATGGGCTGGGTTGGAAGGGATCTTGAAGGGATCTTGAAGCTGCTCTTGTTCCTCCCCATGCCACGGGCAGGGACACCTCCCACTGTCCCAGGCTGCTCCCAGCCCTGCCCAGCCTGGCCTTGGGCACTGCCAGGGATCCAGGGGCAGCCACAGCTGCTCTGGGCAGCCTTTCCCCACCCTCCCAGTAAAAGAGCAGCTCATCCCTTTGTCCAGGCCCAGCACAAATCCTGGTCTGAGCCAGCCTGGCTCTGTCTCACAGGTGAGGGGAGCAAGGCAGGAGCAGCCCTTGCTCCAGGTCCAGGTCTCATCCAGGGAAAATATTCCAGCAGGAGGAGGAAGCTGTCCCTGCAGCCCAGCAGTGCAGAGCTGCCTGGGATCCCTGCCTGTGTCCCAGGGGTGCTCAGGGAGGAGCAGAATTCCTGCAGGGCACAGCCCAGCCGCCGCTGTCTGGTCTCGTTTCAGTCCTGTGAATTCAGAGCAGAAACACCCACAAGGTTTCTCTGGCTGTTCCCACTCCCAGCCTGAGCAGGATCCGTGCCTGGCACTGCATGGGGCACAGACCTTCCCTGCAGTGGGCTGTTCCCAAGGCTGGGGCTGCTCTGCCTCCTGGCTGGCACTGCTGGCACCGGGCACTGGGGGCACCTCGCTGCCCTCTGCCTTCCTCAGGCGCAGGATCTCCTGCTTGTACCTGCAGTGGAACTGCCACTGTCACCACGAGCAGCATGGAAGTGCCACTGTCACCATGAGCAGTGTGGAAGTGCCACTGTCACCACTCACAATGGGCAGTGTGGAAGTGCCACTGTCACCATGAGCAGCATGGAATTGCCACTGTCACCATGTGCAGTGTGGAAGTGCCACTGTCACCACTCACAATGGGCAGTGTGGAACTGCCACTGTCACCATGAGCAGCGTGGAATTGCCACTGCCACCACTCACAGTGAGCAGCATGGAAGTGCCGCTGTCACCATGAGCAACGTGGAATTTCCACTGCCACCACTCACAATGAGCAGTGTGGAACTGCCACTGTCACCATGAGCAGTGTGGAAATGCCACTGTCACCATGAGCAGTGTGGAAGTGCCACTGTCACCACGAGCAGTGTGGAAGTGCCACTATCACCATGAGCAGCATGGAACTGCCACTGTCACCATGAGGAGCGTGTAACTGCCACTGTCACCACGAGCAGCATGGAAGTGCCACTGTCACCATGAGCAGTGTGGAAATGCCACTGTCACCACACACGTGGAAACCCAGAGCACACAGGGAATATTTCTCTGTCTGCTCTGGGGTGCCCTTGTCCCCAGGGCAGCACTGACTCTGACCCTCATTCATGGAGAAAGTTTTCTAGATTCGAGATAGACCGGAATCCACAAAAGTGTGAAATAGATTATAGAGAGCAGTGTAGGTGTATCACGTGGTGAGAAATTGAGGTTTTGGGATTTTTGGTATCTTCTGGATGGAAGCAAGATGGAGGGCACAAGGTGTTGTCCTGGGTTTCTCCTTCATACTTCTTCTTCTTCTTGGGTTTGAGTGGCATTTTGTAATTGGGTGGAAAAATCCCCATTGTGGGCTCTTTGGGATCAGTTATCGGGTTAAAAGGGAAAATAATCCAGGTGTCAGTTCTTAAATTGATAGTTTAGTCTTAAAAGACCTTGTACCAAGAGATTGTTGGCCATTTTGTGCCGTGTTGCTGAACTCACAGTAGTGAAACTGTTTTACTGATAAGAAATAATAAATACCTGAGTCCAAACATGAATTACTATCTCAAGTGCCTTCAATCCAGACTCAGAGAAACCCACAGCTGGCACCCCCACACTGCTCCCTGGGCAGTGAGCCATGCCAGGAGCTGAGCCTGGCACACAGATCCCACAGCCTTTCCCAAGGAAAAGGCGTTCATGGGCTGTGCCAGGCGAGGGCAGAGCCTGACCCAGCCCAGGGCAGGAGCAGGGGGATCGTGCCCTGCCACACCTGCCCTGCTGGTCCTTCCCCTCCCTGCTGCTCTCCCTGCTCCAGGGCAGGATGGGCCAGGGAAGGGGAACACAGATCAGGGGCAGGACTGAGGTTAGAACCTGGGAATAAAAGAACTCTGAAGGTTTTAGGCTTTAGGTTCAGCTTTGGGTTTTAGGTTCCTGTGAAGGTTGCAAGGAAACCTTTAGAGTGCCTTCCAGTGCTTAAAGGGGCTCCAAGAGAGTGGGAGAGGGACTTTGGACAATGGCATAAAGTGACAGGACACAGGGAATGGCTCCCACTGCCAGAGGGCAGGGCTGGATGGGATATTGGGAATGAGGAATTGTTCCCTGTGAGGGTGGGCAGGCCCTGGCACAGGGTGCCCAGAGCAGCTGTGGCTGCCCCTGGATCCCTGGCAGTGCCCAAGGCCAGGCTGGGCAGGGCTGGGAGCAGCCTGGGACAGTGGGAGGTGTCCCTGCCATGGCAGGGGTGGCACTGGATGAACATTTGTGTCACTTCCAACCCTTTCCATGATTGTGACTCCTCCCAAGGATGGGTGAGCACACAGGATGGACACCTGTGGTGTGTGGGGAGTGTCTGTCCTGCTGTCCTATGCCCTGTGCCACAAGAGGTGGTGGCAGCTGCCTGCACAGCTGCAGGAAGCAGTGGGACATGGGCAGTGCTGTGGCAGGGCCAGCAGTGGGCATGGGCCAGCACTGGCACAAGCCTGGAGAGGGCTGTCGCCCCCTGTCACCTGGCCAGGTGCTGGTCGATGTATCCCTGCAGCTCCAGCACCTGCTCCTCTGCCACCACAGCCCGGGTCAGCAGCTGGCTCCTCTGCTGCTCCAGCTCCTCCTGCAGGGCACACAACATGGAGAAAACGTGGGAAAAAAGAGATCTGTGCAATGGGAGTGATGTTGCTCTGCCCCTCTTTGCTGTGTGTGTCTGACCTTCCGACCACTTCCCCACCACTCCAACCTCTCTGCCATGACACCTCCCTTCTTTTGGCCACAGAGGCAGGCTCCATGCAGGTGTGGAGCTTTATATCCCCAGGGATTGAGCTTTACATCCCCAGGGAATGAGCTTTACATCCCCAGGGATTGAGCTTTACATCCACAGGGAATGAAATTTACACCCCCAGGGAATGAGCTTTACACCCCTAAAGAATGAGCTTTACACCCCCAGGGAATGAGCTTTACATCCCCAGGGAATGAAATTTACACCCCCAAGGAATGAGCTTTGCATCCCCAAGGAATGTTGGAGCACTCCTTCAGGTTGCTGTGCACAGGGAAAGGCAGCACATGGAAGGGAATACCCAGGACCTGGAAGGGAATATCCAGGACATGGAAGGGAATACCCCTGCAGCAGCAGGAACCAGCCTGGGAAGCTGATTCAGATTCAGCCTAGGCTTGAACCAGGTCAAATAGAATCAAAGAATCGTGGAATTGTGTAGGAATTCACAAGGATCCAGGTGTTAACCTGGCACTGCCAAGGCCATCACTGACCCATGTCCCAAGTGCCACATCCACATGTCCTATAAATCCCTTCAGGGATGGTGACCCCATCACTGCCCTGGGCAGCTGTGCCAGTGCCTGACCACCCTTTCCATGAAGGAATTTTCCCAATATCCAACCTAAACCTCCACTGGCACAGCTTGGGACCCTTTCCCCTTGTCCTGTCCCTGTTCCCTGTGACTCCCTCGGCTGTCCCCTCCTGTCAGGAGCTGTGCAGAGCCACAAGGTCCCCCCTGAGCCTCCTTTTCTCCAGGCTGAGCCCCTTCCCAGCTCCCTCAGCCCCTCCTGGTGCTCCAGCCCTTCCCCAGCTCTGTTCCCTCCCCTAGACACCCTCCAGCCCCTCCATGCCCTTCCTGTCATGAGTGGCCCAGAACTGCCCCCAGGACTGGAGATGTCCCAGCAGTGCCAGCACAGGGCAACAATCAGCCCCAGTTTATTGCAGAGATGCCAAAAGGTTGTTCTGAAACGTGGGCAGGACTGCCAAGGAGCTGCTCTCCTTGCTTTAGGAGCAGGGAGAGTAAATTAGCCTGGAGTCAGCACCAGCTGGGAGGGCTGAGGCCACAGCAAGGCTGCATGGAGAGTGATTCCAGGGAACGGGCACGGCCCCGGGGCTGCCAGGGCTCCAGGAGGGTTTGGACACTGCTCCAGGGGTGCCCAGGGTGGGATTGTTGGGGGGTCTGTGCAGGGACAGCAGCTGGGCTGGATGATCCCTGGGGTCCCTTCCCTTCCCGCTCAGGATTTCTGTGACTCCATGGAAGTTTCCCCCTCAGGCTGGAGCAGCCCCAGGGCAGGGCTGAGGCAGCACATCCCTGCCTGGGGGTGGGAGATCAGCTTTGCCTCCAGTGGCTGTTCCAGCCTTTACCTGGGTGTTGAGTGTGAATTCCCGGAGCTTCCTCCTGACCTCTGCCCAGCCCTCCTCATCCAGCTGCCTGTGAGGGAAGAGCTCACATGGATCATGCCCAGACACCAAATCCAGCCCCTGCAGGGACCACACAGCTCCACACAGGTCACACAGCTCACACAGCTCCACACAGATCAAATATACAGATATATAAATCTATATGTGTCTCCATGAATGCAGACATACATACACACACATATATGCATAAACTCACATCTACATCTACAGCCATACATACAAATTCACCATTTTAGGTATATGAACATGTGTCAGTTATTTACATGTTATTACTTATTAATAAAGGCACTAGTTACATATTTAGAAAATCTGTTGAGTAGAAATATTGTTCTGATACAGATGTGGCTGATGTTACCAAGTCATTTTCTGTAGATGCCATTTTAATATTTGGGAGTATTTTTGCATTCTTTTTTTTTTTTTTAAAGGTATGGGGAAAGAGAGAAGAGAAATGCAGCCAGGAAGTTAGGATAAAAAGGAGGCTGCATCCTCCAAAAATTAGAGAGATCCCAGGGAATGCCCCATGGCCTCTCCCTTTATTCGAATAAAGCTAAAAGGACTCCTATGGCTCCTTTTTGGACATGAACCTCTGGTGTTTGTGGATTCATTTTCCCAACAGCTGCCTCCGAGCCCAGCCCAGGCTCTGCAAAGATGAGAAGCTGTGAGAACTGGGGCTGGGGGAACACCAGAATTCCCGGGATTAGGGCTATGGGAACACCAGGGCTCTCATCTCCAGCTGGAGCAGCCAGGTAACAGCACACTGTGGGAATCCACAAAATCAGAGGGTTTTGGAAAAGCTGCAAAAGGCAGCCTCAGAGACAGCAGAACTGTGATTGGAGCTGAGCAGCAGCCATGAGATTGGTCAGCAGAAAAATTATGTAAAAAGTAGAAAAGCAAGGACAAACAGAACAATGGTCTGTGTATTAATGCTTGTCTAGAATAACTCCCTAAGCTGCAGAAAAGTTTATCTAGTGAGATGTTAGGAAGTTTTAAGCTTAATAATGGAGCCCTGTGCATTGTGTTTTAAGGCTCACAAGCAGGTATTGTATCCAAAATAAGCAAACATTGTTTTAACTGTGTTTATGGTGATTGGATAGAACTACTGTCAATGTGCTTTTGCTTTGTGTGATTGGCCAAAAAACTTTTAAAGTGAGTTGTAACATTGAGTTCTTTGTCTGCTGCCTGGGATGTGAGCTGGTGGCATCTTCCCATTGTCATAGCCATGGAATGAGAGTGATGGTGGAAAATCAAACAGCTCAAGGCACATTGGTGATTTGTACACAGACCCTGGCTGGTGACACACACAAGTTAACCCAGCAGAATGTGGAGCGTGTGGGGTCTCATGGCAGCTAAAAAAACCCCAAATGATGAGATGCATCACTGAAATTCAGGTTCTGGACCTTGCATGCCCTGCTCCTGTGGTGCCTGCCCAAATTGCTGAATTTACTCACGGTCCATTGCTATTTTCAGTGTGGAATACATGGCAGAGGCTGGTTGAGGCTCAAGCTTTTGCCTGAACCACTCCTCCAGAGCCCAGGGGCTCTGGCACTCACCCACTCCTCAGTGCTGGCATCCAGCTAATGGAATATCTGACATGTTTTCTAGGTGACCACGTATTCTAAAGTGCTGAAAACCCCAGCTCAGGTTTCTCCTGTGCTTTGTTCCACCCCTCCACAGCCATAGCTGGTTGAGTTTTAGCAGGATAATGGAGCAGGGGAAGAGACACATCAAAATTTAGCAATTTCAGGGTTTGTTGGGAGGCCAGGGAGGTGTCAGCACGGTGGCACCAAAGGATTCCAGGCAAACTCCTGCACTGGGAAGGAGGAAAAACAGGACTCTCTCAAATTGGTGGTGTCTCACGGGCCTCTCTCAGGTTGTGATCCACCAAAGCACTTGGGCATGTGCTTAACTTCGGCTTTCAAAGAGGTCAGTGGGGCTAAAAACACGATTAAATCAAATGTGTGCTTAAGAGCTTTCTTGGATCCAGGCCCAGTGACCAAGTCCCTTCCTGCAGGAGAGGGGACAGCTGCCTCTTCTCCCAGAGCAGCCCCAGCAGCTCTTTCCCTGCCTATGGCTGCCTCCAGCCATGCAAACAGCATCCCTCAACCCATACGTCCATGGGAATGTGGAATGGCAGATATCCCAAGGCAGAAACAGCACTTACTGCTCCGGGGGCGCTGCGAGGGCAGAGGCTCCTTTCAGGCTTTTCTGGAGGAAAAAGAAGAACAGAATTCCTGTGAACACGAACACATTGCAATCCCAGATCCTGCCATCATCAAGACCTTAAAGCCCACCCAGTGCCACCCCTGCCATGGCAGGGACACCTCCCACCATCCCAGGCTGCTCCCAGCCCTGCCCAGCCTGGCCTTGGGCACTGCCAGGGATGCAGGGGCAGCCACAGCTGCTCTGGGCACCCTGTGCCAGGGCCTGCCCACCCTCACAGGGAACAATTCCTTCCTAACATCCAACCTAAATCTCTCCTTTGTTAGTTAAATCCATTCCCTTTGTCCTGTCACTGTCTGCACATGTAAAATGACATTATCCCTCTTTTCTTTTGTGCCCTTGGAAGTGGCACAAGGTATCCCAGCGCTCCCACAGCCACCAGTGCCCCGCCAAGGAAACCAGGGGTTGTAGAGTCTGAAGGTTTCAGGTCTCCCCTCCTCTGAATTTCTAAATAAATGCATCCTGTGCAAATCAAGGCCCACATTTGCCCAGGGGGAGGACATTTCCCTATCCCTGGCAGTGCCCAAGGCCAGGCTGGATGGGGCTTGGAGCCATCTGGGATGGTGGAATGTGTCCCTGCCATAGCAGGGGTGGTGTCACTGTCATATTTCCTGAAAAATCCTCTTTACCTAGGATTTTCTCCTGCGAAGCTGAGAAGCCTCAGCTTCTCCTGTGTTTACTACTCTAAAATGTAGTCTAAAGATTGTTTACCCAGCATGGGAATTGTTTTAATTAATGACCAATCACGGCCAGCTATGTCAAAGCTCTGAAGAGCCATGATTTTTATGATCATTCTTGTTAAACCTTCTGTATCTTTCTCTATTCTTTAGTATAGTTTCAGTATTAATATAATATAATATAATATAATATAATATATGCTAATAAATACTATATGTATTTTATATATAGTATATATTATTATATACTATGCTAATATATATATTTCAGTATTAGTATACTATATATAATATATTAAAATATATCTATAAATAGATATTGATTATATATTTATATAATGAATTATACATAATTTATATATAATTTATATATAAATATATTTACATATAAATTATATATAAATATAATATATAATATAATAGATATTAATATATTGTATACATATATATTAGGAGATTAATAATACAGTATTTATTAGTATATAATTATGTAGTATTTATTAGTATATAATTATATAGATAATATAAAATATAGTATATATTAGTATTCTTTAATATAATATAATAACATAAAATATTAAATCAACCTTTAAAAAGCACAGAATCAAATTCTCATCTCTCACCTCATCCTAAAAACCCCTGCAAATACCACAAATAGTAATCCTGATTGTGGCATTGATCACTCTTTCGAGGAGTCACAACACAGGGGTGGAAGAAGATGAGCTTTAAGGCCCCTTCCAACCCAACCCATTGCATGATTCCACGATTCTGTCACATGGAGGTGACTGTTGTGTGCCCTGCCTGTGGCCCAGGCACAGCAAACTCTCAGGGAGAGCGTGGCTGTGGCACCTGGGGACATGGCTGAGTGGCGGCCTTGGCAGTGCTGGGGGAACTGTCACAGACATCTTTTTATGAAAAATCCTTTCTTTAGGATTTTTCCTCCTGAGAAGTTGAAAGGCCTCAGGAACAAAATGTAAACAATGGTTATCTGCTGCTGTGGAATGCAACAGGTGCATCTGTGATTGGTCTCATGTGGTTGTTTCTGATTAATGGCCAATCACAGTCAGCTGGCTCGGACAGAGAGTCTCAGCCACAAGCCTTTGTTATCATTCTTTCCTATTCTATTCTTAGCCAGCTTTCTGAGGAAATCTTTTCTTCTATTCTTTTAGTATCGTTTTAGTATAATATATATAATAAAATAATAAATCAGCCTTCTGAAACATGGAGCCAGATCCTCATCTCTTCCCTCAACCTGAGACCCCTGTGAACATGATCACAGGGAACAGCTGGCCTTGGTGATCTCAGAGGGCTTTTCCAACCTAACCAATGCTACAAAAGCCCTGAGAGGGCTTTTCCAACCTAACCAATGCTACAAATGCCTTAAGGAGAGGGCTCATGGCCCTGTTCCCAGCTCCCTCCCTCCCTGCTGCAGCTCCTGCAGCTCCAGCCTTGCCTTGCGCTCCCGCAGGCGGTTCAGCTCCCGGGAGCTGTTTGCCAGCAGCTCAGGGTCAGTGATGGTCAGGTGGAGCTCGGCAGGGCCACAGTCCATGGCAGTGCTGCCCAGGGCGCGGATCTGCTCCTGCTGCAGCCTGAAACAGCACAGGGTCACTGTCTGTCCCTCTGGGTGACACCACCAGAGCTCTGCTGCTCCTGGGGTGCCGCTCACTGGGACCCGCTGGCTCTGGCCACCTGCAAAGGGAAAGTGGGAGAGTTTCTGAGGGGAGCTTGTCCCAGAGCTATTTGTGGCTTTTCTACCACGGGTATTTCTGCTGCTTCCCACGGCCCAAGCTGCCGAGAGCGCTGCGAGCGCCGCAGGGATGGGCTGGGAGGTGGAGCTATTTGTGGTACCTCTGCCTTTCCACACCATCCGCCGTGGGCTCAATCTCTCACCCTGCGTTGGGAGTGGGAGGAACATATGTGCAAAGCAGCTCCACGGGGTCCAGAGCACCCTGACGTGCAGCTGGAGGCAGCTTGGTGCTGGATTGCCAGGAGCAGGGGGATCAGTGTGCATTCAGGAGCAGGGGGATAAATGTGCATTCCAGATTGCAAGGGGCAGGGGGATAAATGTGCATCCCAGATTGCCAGGAGCAGGGGGATCAATGTGCATTCAGGAGCAGGGGGATCAATGTGCATTCTAGATTAACAGGACCAGGGGGATAAATGTGCATTCCAGATTGCCAGGAGCAGGGGGATCAATGTGCATTCTAGACTGCCAGGAGCAAGGGAATCAATGTGCATTCAGGAGCACGGGGATCAATGTGCATCCCACATTGCCAGGAGCAGGGGGATCAATGTGCATTCAGGAGCAGGGGGATCAATGTGCATTCTAGATTAACAGGACCAGGGGGATAAATGTGCATTCCAGATTGCAAGGGGCAGGGGGATCAATGTGCACTCCAGATTGCCAGGAGCAGGGGGATCAATGTGCATTCAGGAGCAGGGGGATCAATGTGCATCCCAGGCCCTCTGCTCCACTAGGGAGCCTTGCCTGCCTCCTTCCAGGGCAGGATTGGCTGCTGTGGGGCTGTTCCAGCTGGCCCTGAGGAGGAAGAGGAGGTGCTGGGGTTTACCCATAGGCAATGAGCAGGTTCTCGTGTTTCTTGGCCAGCTCCTTCAGGCGTTTCCTGTAGCCCCGGGCTGCCCGGGCCAGCTGCTCCTCACGGCGCCTGTAGGAGGCCTGGATGTCCCTGAGCATGCTGTCCACAAACCTCTGCATGGCAGCGTGGCCAGCTGGGGCTTTGCTGGTTCCTGGCACGCTGTTGGGCTTGCTGTCCATGTAGTTCTGTAAGTGCACAGAGAGAGAAATCCAGGGGGAATGGCTTCCCACTGGGTTAGAGGGGATGTGGGAATTAGGAATTGTTCCCTGTGAGGGTGGGCAGGCCCTGGCACAGGGTGCCCAGAGCAGCTGTGGCTGCCCCTGCATCCCTGGCAGTGTCCAAGGCCAGGCTTGGAACAACCTGGGATAGTGGAAAGTGTCCCTGCCATGGCAAGGGAGATGGGCTTTAGGGTCCCTTCCAACCCAACCCTTGGACAGGGCTTGGAGTCACATTCTCTAGTGGAAGGTGTCCCTGCCCATGGCAGGGGGTGGCACTGGATGGGTTTTAAAATCCCTTCCAACCCATTCCATGGTTCTATGGCAGCTCCCCTGTGCAGATTTCCTGGATTGTCAGTGAGCTTCTGCTGGGACTTTTCTTGGTCAGATTACAGGGATTAAAAAACCCCTTTCTTTATATATTTACTCTAATTTATTTGCCGCAGCCTACAAGAGGAGGGTGCCAGTATGGAGATGTCTGAGGGAACAGCTGGAGCTGGGCCAGGGCAGGGTCAGGCTGAATTTTGGGAAAGGTTCTTCACCCAGAGGGTGCTGGGCACAGCCCCAAGGCTGCCAGAGCTCCAGGAGAGCTTGGACAGGGATGCCCAGGGTGGGATTGTTGGGGGTCTGTGCAGGGCCAGGAGCTGGATCCATGATCTTTGTGGATCCCTCCCCACTGAGGATGGCTCTGTGCCCCTCCCGGGTGTGGTACCCACAGCCAGGTCCCCCAGGCACTGTGCCAGCCGGCACCGATGGCTCTGTGCCCCTCCCGGGGGTACCCACAGCCAGGTCCCCCAGGCACTGTGCCAGCCGGCACCGATACTCCTCGTTCAGCTCCTTCAGCTGCAGCTGCAGCCGCGCGTTCTCCGCCTCCACCTCGTGCAGCCGGGCCTGGGCTGAGAGCAGCGCCTGGCACAGACACAGAAACCCTGCTGAGACACTCCTCAGGGCTGAGGGCCTTCATTCCCAGGTATCTGCCTTCACTACAGCTGGGAAGCTCCCGGGTTTTCAGAGGAACCCACTGGAAATATTTATAATCCCCATTCCCCTGCCACTTTCTGTCATTTGCCACCCCGCACCCCGGTGATGCCACCAACTCTTTATGGAAAACCAGCAAGCAAAATTCCTCCCACCGGCTCTGCAGGCAGCGCTTCCACCACGTGCAGGGGGAACCTGCACGGGAGAAGCTGGGTGTGCTGTTGGGAATTTGGCTGACTAGAGACTGGAAAAGTGCAGAACCGTGGCTGACTCCAAGTCCTGCACCTGCTAGATAGTGTGTCCTTGGGCCTAGCTGTAGTATGATAACAAGTGGTGAAAGAGTAATGAGAAAAGAGAGATGTAAACCCTAAGAAATGAGGAAGAGTTCATGGTATAGTTTAACCAATAGATTGCTTGGCTTACAGAATATTCATAAGCTTATTATTTGCTGTATAAGTGTTTGATGCTTTCTTTAATAAACTGGACCTGTGATGAACCAGCTGGTGTCCTGGTCCCCTTCCTACGACAGTGTGCCAAGCTCCCTGCGGAGGGAGAGGAGCTGGGGGCCGGGATTGGGGCACCCCAGCCTGGAGGATGCTGTGGGGCGGCATCCCTGCTCACCGCTGAGTGCTCTGCCCGCACCGCCCCGGCCGCTCCCTTCGCCTCCTGCAGCTCCTGCCCCAGCGCCAGCCTGCACACACAGCGGGAGAATGGGGTTATTGAACTGCCCTGACTCCTTCTCTGTGAAAAATGCGTGTATTTTATGGTTGGCTTTTCGCAAATATTCAAATGAATATTGTATGTGTTGTGTTAGAAAGTGATGCTGTGTTAATTCTCTTAAGTACTGTGGTAAATATAGTTTTGGGTTATAAAAATTGTTAAAATAGAAACTGTGCTATGTAGGATACTTTTTTTAAAGAAAGGGCTTGCAGCGAGATAGCAGCCACAGGACACCTGAATCTTTCAGAGAAAAAGAATTTATTGCCCTCTTATCAGAAGAAATCTGATCAGAACTTCTTCCTGCCTCGAAGGCGCTGTCAGGATTCAGAAGAAGAAGCTGATGATGACCAGACAGAATCCTGTATTTAAATGGAATTTATGCATCATGTATGAAGTGTATGAATATTCAACGGGCTGTTGTTTTTAAGGGTTAATCCTCTGTTAATGTGGGTCCTTTTTCGGGCTCCTGCTGACCAGAAAAGGTACCCGGACATCTGTAACTCTTTGTCTCTATTGTCTCATATTGTCCTAATTCAATTTGTCCAAGTTATTATGACTCTAATTGTATTACTAATTTTTTAAACATTTTATTACTATTAAACTTTTAAAATTCTAAAAACAAGTGATTGGCATTTTTCATATTCTCCATCCCATCCCAAGGCCAGGCTGGATGGGGCTTGGAACAACCCTGGATAGTAGAAGGTGTCCCTGCCATGGCAAGGGAGATGGGCTTTAGGGTCCCTTCCAACCCAACCCATTCTGGGGTTCTGTGATTCTCCATAGGTCAAACACAGGCAGCTTTGGGAAGAAAATCACTTTGGAATGACAGAAATCTCCCAGCAGCAGCTGCCAGCCTCCAAATGTGCGCAAACCAGTGCCACAAAACCTCTCCCCAGTGAGGATGAACACCCTGCACAGTTCAGAGGGTCGGGTCCTGCAGCATTCCTGATGGGGCAGTGTCACAGACATCTTTTATGAAAAATCCTTTCCCTAGGATTTTTCCTCCTGAGAAGCTGAGAGGCCTCAGGAACAAAAGGTAAACAATGATTATCTGCTGCTGTGGAATGCAACAGGTGCATCTGGGATTGGTCTCATGTTGGATGTTTATAATTAATGGCCAATCACAATGAGCTGACTTGGACACAGAGCTGAGCCACAAGCCTTTGTTATCATTCTTTGCTATTCTATTCTTAGCCAGCCTTCTGATTAAATCCTTTCTTCTCTTCTTTTAGTATAGTTTTAATGTAATATATATCATAAAATAATAAATCAAGCCTTCTGAAACATGGAGCCAGATCCTCATCTCTTCCCTCATCCAAGAACCCCTGTGAACACGGTCACAGGGCAGCCCTTCCTGGGACATCAACCCCATTCCAAGGAGATGGAAAAGCCCCTCTGTGGGCAAGGGCTGGGCTGGATTAATCTCTGGGATGTCACACTTTGCTGTGTGTCACAAAGTGGATTTTCAAGGTGTCCCTGGACACCACCAACTTCCATCTGACAGCTCTGAAGCGCTTTGAAACCATCAGGTTTTCCTTCCAGGCCTCATTCCTTCCCTGTACCCCACAAGGCAGGCTGCCTCCCCTCCTGCTCCGTGGGTCACATCCAGTCCCACAAACACCAGGCCAAGCACAGGGACACTCACACTCGCTCCTCCAGCTTCTGCTGCTGCTCCTCCTGCCTTTTCTTCAGCTTTTCCAGCTCTGCTTTTATGCGATCCTGGTTTCCAGGCAACTGAGGGACAAACGAAGAGGAAGATGAGGCAGAAGGCTGAGTGAAGAGAGGACAAAGTGGGGAGAAGCTGGAGCCGAGCCCTTGTCCAGCCGGGCAGTGTCATGCTGGGGGAGGGCCTGGTGGGGCTGGGAGGGGCAGGAATGGAGTTTGCTGCCAGCCAGGGCACGTGCAGGGGCACATGTGTGGCTCTCACGTTGAGAGGCAGATTCCAGCAGGAGCTGGTGGAGGAGCCCAGGCTGGTTCTGCAAGGGCTGCAGATGGGGAGGAGGCAGGGACCATCTCTGCGCGCTCAGTTTTGGGAGCTTCATCACCCCCAGATTTCTCAAGTGTGAAAAGAGGAAAAAATTTCTCCTCTGCATTTGGTGGCTTCTAAGCTGCTGCCTGTGTTCCCCTGCCAGGGCACGGACCCAGGGAATCACCTCTGCCCTCCCCAGCTCTGCCTGCACATCTGCAGCTATTCCTGGCTCGTTTTGTAACTGCAGGGTTTAAAAAAAGGATTTAAAATGAATCAAGGCATCAGCTGATCCACAAAACTCAAGTTAGCAGCAGGAGGTGCCAGCCAGGGTTGGAATCCATCCCCCTCTGCTTCCCAGGATCCTGCAGCAGACCCCTGCACACACTCACGTTTCTTTCCAGCTCCTGCTGCTCGTGCTCAGGGGCGGCTGCATCCTCGGGCTGCTTTGGGGAGAGACAAGAAGGGGCCTGGTGGATCCCTGTTCTCTGAGGGGCTGGTGGGAGGGCAGAGAGTCCCTCACCTTGTCCCTGTGAGCAGAGTGGGGCTGTCCTGCTGCTCTCCCTCTTCCCAGCCCCGGGGAGGAGGGATGGGCCAGGCCAGGGGGGAGGCTGCTCTCCTTGGCCAGGCTGAGCAGCTCCTGGGTCAGCTCCTCATTCCTCAGCACCTGCAAGGTCAAACAAGAAGGAGAGAACTTCTGAAATCCCCCTTTGGCCAGCACATCCCTGCTGCTCCTGGTGGGTGCTCCAGGCAGGCAGCCTCTGCCCTCCCCAAATCAAGTTTGAATTTTGGTTCTGTCTCCCATGTCCAGAGTGATTTTCTACTTTACATGGAAATGCACTCCAGGCAGCAGAGTTATTCCCACGGAATGTTATCCCTCTGCACATCTCACACTAAAATCCACACTCAAACCCTGAGCCAGCCCTGGCACAGCTCTGCCACCACCTCTGCAGCCTCCAGCTCCCTCCTCACCCCCACCCTGCACCCTCCATTCAGCTTCCCAACCCTTCAGGAACGTCCTTCCCCATGGAGCAGCTTTGAGCAGTGCTGGGCTCCACAGCACAAGGAGAAGGGCCAAGTCTTCTCCATCCATTCATCCATGGATCCAGGAATCCATGGATCCATGGATCCATCCATCCATCCATCCATCCATCCATCCATCCATCCATCTACGGATCCATCCATCCATCCATCCATCCATCCATCCATCCATCCCTGTCCATCCCTGTCCATCCATCCATCCATCCATCCATCCATCCATCCATCCATCCATCCATCCATCCATCCCTGCAGATGACACATTCCCAGCTGGATGGGATTTCTCCCCAGCCCACAGCCAGTGTGGGCAGTGTTTCAGAGCAGTGCTGCTGCTGTGGAGTGACACATTTCCAGAAGATAAAGAGGATGTGAACGAGGAAAGCTCCGTTCCAGGTGATCTGGAGGGAACACTGGGGGAATTCATGTCTCCCGGGAGGGTTTCTGTGTAGATAACAAAGCTCTGATGAGGTTTGTGGCTGGGGACAAGCTTGAGTAATTGTTACCATGGCAGTGAATCGGAGGATGGGAGGCAGAGGTCATCTGAGTCATCCGTGGAGAGAATAGCTTATCAAAAGATAGCGCGGAGCGGGCTGGGGGAGAGCGGGGAGAAAGGAGCTGACAAAGAGGTGAGAGATACAGCTGTGAGACCTGACAGCTCGGCACAGACAGCTCCGCTTGTTCCCGGCTCCCGGCGATCCATCTGCAGCTGTCACCCTGACAGTTTGATCGCAGGGGTCACAGGGACCGGTTTAGCCAAAATAAAAAAGGGGCAGTGCCCGGTTTGAGTTGGGCTCCGCTGCCTTTCCAGGGCTCCCGAGCCTGGCGCGGCTCCAGGGAAAACCCAGAGCGCGTTTGGGTCCCCTCGGGGGCTGCGCCGAGCCCGGGGCACAAAAGGAGAAGGAAACGGAGAGCGAGGGAAGGTCAGAGCCTTGAAAAGGAAGAATTTACAGCGAGTGAGGAACAGGCCCCGAGTGCCTGCCCGACATCTCCGGGAGCCCTTCCCGGGCCGATCCCGCGGGATCCCCGCACAAAGGAGCCGCCACAAGCCCGGGCTGCGGCTGCTCCCGGCCCCGGGGCCGTCAATGCGCTCCGAGCCGCTCCTGCGCCCAGCAGCCATGACAACATATTGGCAAGGTCACAAGTAGCACTTGTAATTGGGAATGTGTAAAGGGCTCATTGTCTGCCCCAGAGGAGCGCCGGGGAAGGGGAGGGGGCAGAACCGCAGGCTGCTGTTCCCGTTTCCTTTGGGAAAGTCCGCGCTGGGAAAATAATGAGCAAGAGGCCCATGTCCCGACAAGTGCCAGGCTGCCAAGCTGGAGCCTCGCTGGCTTCAGGCGGGGATTTTTGGGAGCGGGAGCCAAGGAACTGGGGTAAACTCCTTGGCACATGGAGGACATCCAAGGAATTCACCTCTGGCTTCTGGCCCTGCTTCAGCACTCGGAGCAACCTGCTCTGGGAAAGGTTTCCCGTGGCAGGTGTCGCAGACAACTTTTATGGAAAATCCTTTCCTTGGGATTTTTCCTCCTGAGAAGCTGAGAGGCCTCAGGATCAAGATGTAAACATTGATTATCTGCTGCTGTGGAATGCAACAGGTGCATCTGTGATTGGTCTCGTGTGGTTGTTTCTAATTAATGGCCAATCACAGCCCAGCTGGCTTGGACACAGAGCCCAAGCCACAAAGCTTTGTTATCATTCCTTCTTTTCTATTCTTAGCCAGCCTTCTGATTCTATTCTTTTAGTATAGTTTTAATGTAATATATATCATAAAATAATAAATCAAGCCTTCTGAAACATGGAGTCAGATCCTCATCTCTTCCTTCATCCAAGACCCCCTGTGAACACTGCCACAGCAGGGGCTGGAATCAGGTGGGGTTTAAATTCCTTCCACCCCAAAGCATTCCTGGACTCTACGGTTCCTCAGGATGCTCTCTGGCACAGAACTGAATCCACGTGCTTTCACCTCTGTGCCACCCCGGGATCCATGTGAAAACCGTGTGTTATTGCCTCCAACCCGCTAAACCCATCATTTAGAGATGTCAGCTGCCTGGAAACGCCGGTTTTGACAAACACATTGCACCCCCTTGGGGACGAGAGGCAGCCGAGAGCGCTGACGGCTGGGCCGCTCCTCCCTGCGCTGCAGCGGGACCGCGGGCTGGGATCCCCCCCTGCAGGAGCTGAGCTGTGAGGAATCCCCGATTCCCGGCTCCTGGGAGACAAACGCTGCCTGCCCGAGGGTGATCACTGTCCTGCCCTGCACAGCCCATGCGGACACTGGAGCAGGGCAGCATTCCTGCCGCACATCCTCCCTGGAAAACCGGGTCACTGAGCTGCGGCAGCAACGCTGCTGGGGGAGGGAGGGAGCAGCATCGTGTCACTCGTTCCATCCATTCAAAAACAGCAGAAGCGGCAGGGGGGAGAGGAGGGGACAGAGGAAGGGCTATTGAAGTAGCCACAAAAATACACAAATCTGGGTCCAAAACCTCCGGTTAATCCTTGCTGAGCGAGCAGGCAGCGGGAAGGTGTTTGTCCCTTAAGGAGCCGTCGGAAACTTGCTTGAATTCGGGGTTTTTAGAAACTTTCCGACCTGAAAGCTGCCGGGCCCCTTCCCGCCGGCCGCAATGAGAGCGGCTCCAACCCGTTCACGTGCGGGCTGCGCAAGCCAAGCAGAAAAAAGGGAAACAAAGGGGGCTGGCAGCGCCGGGGGAGCGGCCCCGCAGCCCCGCCGTGACCCCCGGGCAGCGCCGGGGAACGGCAGGGAGGGACGGAGGGAGGGAGGGATCTGCCCGGGGGGACGGGACCGGCGGGGCAGCCATGCCCTGTCCACAGTTCTGTCCTCATCCCTGTCCCCAGCTCTGTCCTCATCCTGTCCTCAGCTCTGTCTCCAGCCCTGCCCCCAGTTCTATCCTCAACTCTGTCCCCATCCCTATCCCTATTCCGGTCCCCAGCCCTGTCCCCAGCTCTGCCCCCAGCCCTATCCCCAGCTTTGTCCCTAGCTTTGTCCCTAGCTCTGTCTCCAGCTCTGTCCCCATCCCTGTCCCCATTCCTGTCCTCATCCCTGTCCCCATTCCTGTCCCCATCCCTGTTCCCAGGCTGTCCTCATCCCTGTCCCAAACCTTGTCCCCATCCCTGTCCCCAACCTTGTCCCCAGCTCTGTCCCCGTTCCTGCCCCCATCCCTGTTCTCAGCCCTGTCCCCAACTCTGTCCCCAGCCTGTCCCAGCCCTGTCCCCATCTCTGTACCCATTCCTGTCCTCATCCCTGTCCCCATCCCTGTCCCAGCCCTGTCCCCATCTCTGTACCCATCCCTGTCCTCATCCCTGTCCCCATTACCAGGGCAGGCCTGCAGGCCCTGTGAGGAGGAGCTGTGTCACATCAACCCCCAGGGACAATCCCCAGCCCAGGCTGTGCCTTGTCACAGCTCAGAGCTTGGACATGTCCTGGGTGTGCTGGGACCCTGAGCCCCCCTGGGCTGGGCTGGGCCCCCAGTGTGGGCAGCAGAAGGGGGGATTCTGCCCCTCTGCCCCCTCAGGTGAGACCCCACCTGCAGAGCTGCCCCAGCCCTGGGGAACAACAGCAGCAGGACCTGGAGCTGCTGGAGAGAGTCCAGGGGAGCCCATGGAGATGCCCCAAGGATGGAGCCAGGCTGTGAGAGCTGGGGGTGCTCACCTGGAGAGGAGAAGCTCCAGGAACACCTCAGAGCCCCTGCCAGGGCCTGAAGGGGCTCCAGGAGAGCTGGAGAGGGACTGGGGACAAGGGATGGAGGGACAGGACACAGGGAATGGCTCCCACTGCCAGAGGGCAGGGCTGGATGGGATATTGGGAATTGGGAATTGTTCCCTGTGAGGGTGGGCAGGCCCTGGCACAGGGTGCCCAGAGCAGCTGTGGCTGCCCCTGCATCCCTGGCAGTGCCCAAGGCCAGGCTGGACAGTGGGAGGTGTCCCTGCCATGGCAGGGGTGTCACTGGGTCGTTCTTGGTGACCTTTAAGAGATACCTCAAGAAGAACCTTGGTACAATTGCATGAGAAACCTCGCTGGCCCTGAGCTGTGATGGGGCTGCACAAATGAAAGCCAAGCAAGGCCCCTGCAGGCAGGGAAGGTGAGGTGGAGCTGGAACTGTGGGATAACCCCTGGGATGAGGTGTGGGATGATCCCTGCAGCCTCCTCACCTCCTTGTCCAGCTCCCTGCCCAGGGCCAGGTAGTTGCTCTTGAGGATGATGAACTCCTGCCCCAGCTCCTGCCGGCTGCTCTCCAGGCTCTGCAGGCGCTCCCGGAGGGAATCTCGCTCCTCCCGAAGGGAATCCCGCTCCTCCCGCAGGGAATCCCGGCCCTGCTCCAGCTCCTGCACCTGCCTCTCCAGCTCCTGCATCTGCACAGCGACAGCAGGGTCAGGGCAGCGCAGCCAGCCCCAAACCAGAGCGGATTTCACGGGAATTCCTCGGGATCTGGGGATTCAGCTCCCTCTCGAGCCAGGAGGAGATGGCAGCAGGGCACAGGTCTGTGCTGGGAGCTGCAGAGCTGAGGGAAGGGCTGGAAGGGGCTGTTCCCAAAGTGGTACCATGGTTTTCAGCTGGAAGTTCTCTGTCTCGTAACGCTCCTTCATCCTGTTTGTCTCAATCTGGAGATCCACCAGGTCCTTGGAAATCTGGGGGGCACAAAGGCAGTGAAGGCCATGGATGAGTTCTGAGGCCAGTGAAGGCCGTGGATGAGTTCAGAGGCCAGTGTGATGTTTGAGCACAACACAGCTCCCCCAGAAGGAGGAATTTTCAGATTTCCCACTGTGCATCCAGTGGCCATCACAGCTCAGTTCCCTCCAGCTCCCAAAGTTTTACCTTCAGTTTTTCCTCTTCACTCAGGACCATCCTGGCTGGGAAGTCCATGCTGGAGCCAGGCAGTTCCTCCATCTCCTCCTGTGGGTCTCCAGGCTGCTGCCCCTCCTGGTTCCTGTCCTCCAGCTGCACCTGGGGGCACAGAGCAGCTCCAGCTGGGCCCTGCTCTCCCCCTGCCCATCCCAGCCCTGCCCATCCAGCTTTTCAGAGCCTGGACAGATCCCAGCCAGACTTCAGCAGCCATTTCTCCCCTGTGGGGAGGATTTCCTTGCCAGAGTGCTGATCCACGAGCTGGGGAGGGGCTGCAGACGTTCACAGCTGGATTTTTGGGCAGCAAGGTGCTCTGTCAGGATACTCACACTCTCATTCTCTGCAGTAATTCCAGGATCCATGTGCTCAGAGGCCAGGGCTCTGCTCAGGGCTGGGCAGGCAGTGACTGAGGAGCCCAGGAAGGATCTCCAAGGGATTTCTCCAAGGAGGTTCAGCACTGTTGCTACCAACTCTGGTTACCAGAGGCTCCCACCTGCATTTTAAGGTGGCTCCAAACCTTCCAGCCACCCTGGGTGTTGGAATTCAGGACATCCCTCTGGCTGCCCTGGAGGGCTCAAACCCCTGCCAGGGAGCTCAGAGACCTTGGCACAGAGCCCAAGACCCCTGGGACTTTGATTTTAGCCATGGAAAAAATTACCAACCTTACATGAGGATCTGCAAGCCATGAAAGTCTAAGTAGAATGATGGTTAGTTTGTCATGGGGTGAAAAATAGATTTTTGGGGTTTTTAGAATGGGGGTTCAGGGGACAAGATGGAGGAATCTGGGTGTGTCCTGTCCTTCTTCTTCTTGTTGTTGTCCTCCATTTTATGGGTGATGTTGGCACTTTTGGATTGGTTTAAGGTAGAAACTCACTGTCTAACATAGGTGATAGGTATTGGGAAGTAATTGTAAATAATGTACGTGTAGTTTTTAGTATAAAAAGATAACACCACCCCAGGGGCATGCAGAGTGCCTGGACCTGTCCTGCTGAATGGACCTCGGCAGAGCAGGAGAAAGAATTTTATAGATAAGAAACAATAAACAACCTTGAGAATGAGAAATGAAGAGTTCTGACTCCTTCTTCAATTAATGGGCTGGGAAAAGAGATTTTCTAACCCATCTCAGGTCACTGTGAGCAGCAGAGATCCCAGAGCTGGGAGCTGCTGGAGGGAGAGCCCTGGCACTGCCCAGCAGGATCCTGCACCCCCAGGGAACAATTCCTGCCCTTTATCCCATCCATCCCAGCCCAGGCTCTGCAAGGAGCAGCTCAGGAGCACCCAGGGCAGGCAGGGAGGGGTGCCAGCCCTGCAGGGACCATTCCCAAAGCTGGCTGCAGGGATGGGCTCCATCTCCAGGGCAGGGACATTCCAGGGCTTCAGGGGCTGACAGGAGAGAGGGAGAGGGAATTTGTACAAAAGTGATAGGACAAGAAGGGGGATCTTAAAGTAATAGAGGAGAAATTGAGAATGAATAAAGAGCAGGATTAGATGGGATATTGGGCAGGAATTGTTCCCTGTGAGGGTGGGCAGGCGCTGGCACAGGGTGCCCAGAGTAGCTGTGGCTGCCCCTGGATCCCTGGCAGTGCCCAAGGCCAGGCTGGGCAGGGCTGGGAGCAGCCTGGGATGGTGGGAGGTGTCCCTGCCATGGCAGGGGTGGCACTGGACGGATTTTAAGTTGCATTCCCACCCCAGCCATTCCCTGATTCCATGATTCCAAGGGCTGATTAACCCACTAAACAATCCACCTGCTCCAAGCCCATCCCATAATATCTGATTTTCTTCCAGGGATCTTCCCCTGCATCCCTGCACTCCTTGAACGTCCCGTGCCACCTCAGGCCCCAGGATCTCTGAGCTCTGGGTCAGCAAAGACCTTTCCCAATCCACCCTTCACATCAGAGCTGCTGTGTGGGAACAGAGGTTTCAAAGCAGAGATTGCACTGAAACCAGCCTGGATCATCCCAGGCAGAGCCAAATCTGGGCTGTGCTGCTCTGGGGGCTGCTGCTGCCTCCAAACTGGGACCTGCAGGCTGGAATGGGACAAATCCCACAGCAAAAAGTGTTTGGAGAATCCCCAGGGTCAGAGTGAGGGTAACAAGAGAGGATAACATGGAAAACCTTGAAAAGGGTGAAATCAGATGGGCTGGGAGACCTTCAGGGGGCCCTTCCAACTCAAAACTCTTCCATGGTTCTAAAATGAGTTCCAGCTCTTAATCTCCTCATTTTGGGCTTATTATTGCTGCTATTTCTGGAGAGTGGGTGAGTTTAGGTAAGAATCTGTCTCCCCCAGAAAAAAAGCTTTGACAATATAATGTTCAAAAAAGCCCAGAGCTCTGAATAACTCCTCAGGATCTGTCAGAGCTCAGCAGACGGGAGGGAGAGGGGCCATCCATGACGAGCAGGGCTCCTCACCTGTGCCAGGCTGCTGGGGGAGCCCCCAGACCCCCAATGAAGGTGGGCAGAGGGGCTGAGCACTTGGGGGGCTCAGGGGAAGGAGAAGCCAGCAAACCCTGCAGGTCCAGCTTGTTTTGCTGCAGAAGAACTTAACAGACCTGAAGTAATTTCATTAAGGTAATGGAAGTGTTGATGAGAATTCGCAGTCTCTTCACACCCAGCCCGAGCTCGATTTGCACCCTGCCCACGGCTCTGGGCACGGGGTGAGCAGCAGCAGCAGCTCCGTCCTGGGGGGGTTTGAGCCCCACATGGGCACCCCAGGGATGGGCACCCAGGGATGGGCACCCACAGCCCCACAGAGGAACCCCAAGGATGGGCACCCACAGCCCCATGGGCACCCCAGGGATGGGCACCCCCACCCCAGAGCCCCAATGGGCACCCCAAGGATGGGCATCCACAGCCCCAATGGGCACCCCCACCCCACAGCCCCACATGGGCACCCCAGGGATGGGCACCCCAAGAATGGGCACCCACAGCCCCAGTGGGCACCCCAGGGATGGGCACCTCCACCCCATAGCCCCAATGGGCATCCCAGGGATGGGCACCCCAAGGATGGGCACCCACAGCCCCAATGGACACCCCAAGGATGGGCACCCCAGGGATGGGCATCCACACCCCACAGCCCCGGGATCTGCCCCGGACCCCCTGATTTGGGGGAACAGCTCCCCCCATCCCATTGCTGCGCCGCAGCGAGCCCGCTCTAATTAAGGGCAATTAGCATATACAAACACGGCCTTAATTATGCAATATAGCACCTGTGTGCCAGGTGCCCTACCGGCACCAGGAGTGACAGTCACCCCTTTTCCCGGGGTCTGGGAATACAAAGCCAATTTTGTGCCGGGCAACACCACCAAAAGCAGATTGGGGCCGAGAAATGAAGTTTTGGGGTGACGCTGAATCTCCAGCACCGCTCCGGACTGAACCACGGCCAAACCCCGGCTGTGTGCTGAGGCTTTGAGGGGAGGGCTGTCCTTGTCAGGATCACCTTAAACCCACCTTAAACCCACCCCGGGAGCGCGGCTTTAGGAGATGGAGCCGCTCCTACACCCAGGGGGCTCCGGGAGGGTTTGGGGTGCCCCCTGCTCGTTGTGCCCGCTCCTCCAGCCCTGGCAGGGTCACCCATGGCCCTGTGCCCCCCAGGGACCCCGGGAGGAGCAGGGGAGCAGCTCCGGCACAGCCGCTCGGGCTCAGCGCAGTGATGGCTCCATCTGGCTTCCAGCGGCTGCAAAGGAGCCCGAGCCCGAGCCCGGATCAGCCAGAGTGCCCCGGGATGCCAGGTGTGAAAAATGTGCATTTCATGATTGGCTTTTCGCAAATATTAAAATATTATATAATATATGATATACCTTTAATATAATATAATATAATATAATATAATATAATATAATATACATAAATTATAATATAATATAATATAATATATATAATATAATATAAATAACATACTATCATATATAATATATCATATATAATATATTGTATATTATATATTATATATTATATATTATATTGTATAATATATAATTAGAATATTATATGTGTTGTTTTAGAAAGTGATGCTGTATTAATTCTCTTAAGTACTGTGTTAAATATAGCTCTAGGTTATAAAAATTGTTAAAATAGAAACTGTGCTATGTAGGATATTTTATTTAAAGAAAGGACTTGCAGGGAAATAGCAACCACAGGACACCTGAATCTTTCAGAGAAAAAGAATTTATGGCTCTCTTATCAGAAGAAATGAACTTCTTCCTGCCTCGAAGGCACTGTCAGGATTCAGAGGAAGAAGTTGAGGGTGACCAGACAGAATCCTGTGTTTGAATGGAATTTATGCATCATGTATGAGGTGTATGAATATGCAACAGGCTGTTGTTTTTAAGGGTTGATCCTCTGTTAATGTGGGTCCTTTTTCAGGCTCGTGCTGCCCAGAAAAAGGTACCCGGACTGTCTGTAACTCTTTGTATTTATTGTCTCATATTGTCCTAATTCAAACTGTCCAAATTATTATTACTCTAATTGTATTACTATTTTTATAACCATTTTATTACTATTAAACTTTTAAAATTTTAAGAAAACAAGTGATTGGCGCTTTTCACACCACGGTTGCCCGACCCTCACTGCCCCTTGGATGGGGAATCCCTGGGCTCCCACTGATCCCCCCCAGTGAATTTTCCTCTTTATTTCCAACCTAAACCCACCCTGTTCCGGTTCAAAATCGCCACCGTGTCTCCTGGCTTGAGGAAAAGCTTTTCTGTGATTTTTCCAAGCCCTGAGCTGCCACAAGGAATTCTCCAGGCTGGACAGGCCCAGCTCCCCCAGCCTGGGTGGGGGAGAGGAGGGAGGGAGCTGCAAACCTCTCTGAGGTCCCTCAGAAGAGCAGCAAAGGTTCTTCCAGCCCCCAGAAGGAACAGCAAAGGTTCTTCCAGCCCCCAACCACCTCCAGGGTCCCCTCTGGGTCTGCTCTGGCCCAGCCAGGCCTGTCCTGTGCCAGGATCCCCTCCTGGGGGTGTTTGTGTGCTCTGGGGGTTGAGGGGGAACCCTCCCCCTGCCCTGCCCCATGCTGGGTTTGTGGGTGCTGTGGGAAATGGATTTGGAGAGAGTTTTTAGGGTTGGATAGATGGTTTGCATGGGATGTGTTTCTATGTAAACTTGGAGATAAGAAATGCCTGGGTCAGAAAAGGGATGGCAGTCCCACAGGCTGCCAGCACCCACTGCCACCCCACATCCTGTTTGTCACCCCCTGGCACCTCCTGGCGCTTCCCTGCAGGGCTGGGAGGAGACTTGGGATGGGGCAGGGCTGGGATCTGGGGCAGGAGGAAAGCTCTGCTCCCTCTGCCACCTTCTCATTGTCCCTAAGGGGGAAAGCTCTGCTCCCCCTGTCACCCTCCCACCCCGTCCCTCCCCCTGGCACCCCAAGGACCAGGCTGCTCCCTCCGTGCCTGGCTCTGGAGAGCTGGGCTGGCAC